ACGCCCGCAAGCTCACCAGGCCTCATGCTTAAGCTTAGCCTTTGGCAGTGACCACGGTGACCACCTAGCCTCCAGCACCACTTAGGATTCAATTTCTCTCAGAACTCAGGGAAGTCAGGTTGAGGGGTGAGGGGGACGATTAGGCCGCTGGAAATCTGGTCAGGAACACTGAGATGACGGAGAACAGCTGGTGCAGACCAAAGGGACTCGGGAAAGGTTCTGTGGGCCTGGTACCCAGACCGCGGCATGGAGACACCTCCTCTTGCACCTCCGTCTCAACACCCTACTGAAGCGCAACATGGAGCCAAGTGCACACGTGGACAGCTTGAGGGACCTTCCAGAATAGTCGGCAGCGCCACCAAGGAATGGGCAACACCAGAATCCCCACCGCGCGCTGTCACCACCGCTCATGCATGCCTCCTTGGTCTTGCTGTTGGTGACTCCCCAAAATCCCAAGAGAAAGGAGAAGGGGTTGGGTGTGATCGTCCCTTCCTTCCAGGGTGTGCTTTCTCGTTTCCCTTCTCCCCGGTAAGTGCGCATATCCAGTAGTTTAAAAACCTAACAAATCTAAACGTTTGTCTACATCTTCATTTGGATTCCCAACACCACCATGCCACCTGTGGACGGCAGGGCGTAAAATCAGGTTGACTGAGGTATGTACTACGGCACACAAGCTTTCAGATGTCCAGGTCTCCAGTCCACCTGCCCAGCTGCTCCAGTGACACGGACGGCCTGACTCAGGTCCACATTTCCAAGCCCACAGGGACACGGGGCCCAGACTGCGCCTACAGAACCGGAAGCGGAATGAAGCCTACCACGCACTTCCCTGGTGCTGTGCTGACGCTCAACTCAGTGGCGTGGAGGAGCTCAGACACCACACGGGTACATGCAAAGATTCGTGGCTGTTAGTGAGGCAGGCCTGTTTCACATGCCTGATTGAAGAAACTTAAAGGAAACGTGACTCACTTTACTTGGTGCCAGCCAGGGGACTTTTTAAGTGTCATGGATACTAATTCATCTCAAACCATGTGCCTGAGAGGAGGAGGCCATGTCCGCGTCGTAATAAGAACTTGGACCTTACAGTGATGAGAACGGCTCGCCCTAAGCGGGTGATCTGAAGGCGGGCTTGCCCTCTGCTGTGGGAAGCGGACGGGCACTGGAGCCCGGGGCACAGCATGGCCAGCTTGCCCCTTCAGTGTCTGCTTTCTCTCTCTCCCGCATCGGGCACTGTTTTGGTTTATTTCTGCTGGAAAACACAATTATTTCTCCCCGCACCTGCTAGTCAGGAAGAGCACTGCTCCTACCTACACTCAGTGGCAGACCTTAGATTGTGGGTTCCATGAGAAATACTGCCAGAACCAGGGGCCCTGGTGGGTGCGGACCTAATGACACGGGTCATGACATACCAGCCTTCTTCCACTGTCAAGTTCATATGCTAATTCTTTTATACAGAATAACTTTTAAGACAGTTTTGTTGTATTGTGCTTCCTGTTAGAGGTGCCTTAGGGCACCAGCGCTCACCGGAAAGACAGTCCGGCAGAGGGAAAGTGGGAAATCACCCCCCAGGGGACGTGGCCATGCAGCAATCCTCTCTTCCATCCTCCACCCAGGACTTTGGGCACGCATGCACACATGCCCGGTGTGATATTCAAGCTGCCAGGTCTGAGACTTAAACCATGGTTGGCCATATGGGAGTCCAGTGCCATAACCATCATGCCACTTGCGAGATTTTCCGTTCCTTAAGCATCTCTTTGAAAAGCTACTCTCCCCCACCTTACGCCTTTAACACCTAAAAACTAACAAGCCCTACCTGAGAAACGGATGGTCGGGAATAAGCGAAGCGGGGAAATACAGCACTGCAGTGTCCACCCGGAGACACCCAGAGTCCTGATGCCCAGAGGCACCCCCCTCCCCCACTTCTGCCTGGACACAGCATTTCTATGGACCTTAGACACGCCCAGGTTCCTCGGCCTGGACTGGAATCAGGGAAGGCCCAGTCCTGACCCCTCTGCCACTGCCATCTGAGGTGGGCTGTTTCCTTACCTGTTCACCGAGAGGAGCAATCTGAACGCTTTCAAAGCATCGAAGAGCTGGGTGGGCCCCAAAATAAGCAACTGTATTTCAGCCAGGACTACTGACGTGCTCAGGACCGAGGCTCGTCTTTGCCAGGCTGAGGGTGGCTGATCTGGGCAGAGGGTGTGATTCTGAGGCCTGCCCCCTACCCCCCAGCCCCCACCCCCGCCTATGAGAGCAAGGGAGAGCCTGCCCGACGCCCGCAAGCTCACCAGGCCTCATGCTTAAGCTTAGCCTTTGGCAGTGACCACGGTGACCACCTAGCCTCCAGCACCACTTAGGATTCAATTTCTCTCAGAACTCAGGGAAGTCAGGTTGAGGGGTGAGGGGGACGATTAGGCCGCTGGAAATCTGGTCAGGAACACTGAGATGACGGAGAACAGCTGGTGCAGACCAAAGGGACTCGGGAAAGGTTCTGTGGGCCTGGTACCCAGACCGCGGCATGGAGACACCTCCTCTTGCACCTCCGTCTCAACACCCTACTGAAGCGCAACATGGAGCCAAGTGCACACGTGGACAGCTTGAGGGACCTTCCAGAATAGTCGGCAGCGCCACCAAGGAATGGGCAACACCAGAATCCCCACCGCGCGCTGTCACCACCGCTCATGCATGCCTCCTTGGTCTTGCTGTTGGTGACTCCCCAAAATCCCAAGAGAAAGGAGAAGGGGTTGGGTGTGATCGTCCCTTCCTTCCAGGGTGTGCTTTCTCGTTTCCCTTCTCCCCGGTAAGTGCGCATATCCAGTAGTTTAAAAACCTAACAAATCTAAACGTTTGTCTACATCTTCATTTGGATTCCCAACACCACCATGCCACCTGTGGACGGCAGGGCGTAAAATCAGGTTGACTGAGGTATGTACTACGGCACACAAGCTTTCAGATGTCCAGGTCTCCAGTCCACCTGCCCAGCTGCTCCAGTGACACGGACGGCCTGACTCAGGTCCACATTTCCAAGCCCACAGGGACACGGGGCCCAGACTGCGCCTACAGAACCGGAAGCGGAATGAAGCCTACCACGCACTTCCCTGGTGCTGTGCTGACGCTCAACTCAGTGGCGTGGAGGAGCTCAGACACCACACGGGTACATGCAAAGATTCGTGGCTGTTAGTGAGGCAGGCCTGTTTCACATGCCTGATTGAAGAAACTTAAAGGAAACGTGACTCACTTTACTTGGTGCCAGCCAGGGGACTTTTTAAGTGTCATGGATACTAATTCATCTCAAACCATGTGCCTGAGAGGAGGAGGCCATGTCCGCGTCGTAATAAGAACTTGGACCTTACAGTGCGGTCATTCGCATTTCTTCTTTGCAGTCAATTCTTTCTGAATAAACACTTCCTGGGAACTTAGGGAAGTGTCACCCAGCCAATGCCACCATAAGCTGGTCCCAGTTGAGCCGGTCTGCCGTGGCCACACAGAGAGCACCCAGACAGCGGGCCCCAGCCACTGGACTGCTCAGGGTCTACCCAGCACCGCGGCGCCAGCCAGCTCCAGGCCACAGGCCGCCTGCCCTCAGGGACTCCCCATCTGCCAGATCCTGGGTGTCAATGTCAATGACTTTGAGAAAACCTTAAAACTTATTCTGTGACACTAACTTAATTTTTGTAAGACTGAAGGACATTTGTAAATTTCAAATGCAAAAATGAAACCTAAACTAATAAATTGTGCTAAATAAAAGGTTTTATCTACAATCTCTACGACTGTGCCAGCAGGTGGCGCGGAGGTTAAGGCACCTGGATCCTACATGGTGCTCTGTACGATGAGCGTTCCGGACCCAGTGGTTTGAAAAACATAGGAGGCGTAGGGACCAGCAGTTGGCATAATGATTACATCACTGGACTCCTATGTAGCCGATCACGGTTCGAGTCTCAGAGCCTGTGGCTTAAACCTCACACCGGGCTGTGTGTGTGCGTGCCCAAGATCCTGAAAGGAGAATGGGGGAGAAGGAACTGTGGTGTGGCCATCTCCCTTGGGGGGTGATTTCTCACTTTCTGTCTCTCTGGTGAGCACACACACCCTATAGCAAAAATCTCTCAAAAAACAAACAAACAAAAAAACCAAGCATGTGTGTGTGCATGCTGAGAATGGAGAAGGGACTGTGGTGTGGCACTCCCCCACCCCGCCTTCTGTCTCCACCAAGCACGTGTGCCCTGGAGGAAACTGAAACACACACACACACAACTTAATTTAAAAACCAAAATGCCCAGAATCTCACATAAACTAAGTCAAACATTCTGTGGCCTGAAAATACTGGTAAAATACCTGTGTGCCTTAAAATAATCTAAATATATAAATTAAACTGATTTTGATAAAATGTTTCTTAAGACAACAGTATGCTAAAAGACAGGTAATCTGGCCTGGCCTCGTGGCAGGCATTGCTGTTTGCTGTGCTACGTGGCTGGAACCACACGGGAGGCCTGGGTCTGATCAGGATGCGACCTGAGGCTGGGCTCGCAAAGCACACCTGAAATCCCAGCCATGCAAGAAGGTGGGGGCAGGAGGGTGACATAGGGAAACTGTCTTTAAAACACACACACACACACACACACACACAGATTTTGGTAAATATGTAGATGTCTTTTATTTGTCAAGAATAAACGTCAGTTTTTTTTAGAACAGTCAAGTACAAAAAATGAGTGAATTTTATATGCCTATGGCTTAAGAAAAGTTAGAAACTATCAAACATTCTGAGGGTACTGAGGCACTAAATGCAAAAATCCCCTGAATTATCTGAATGTTTGCGTTCAATATTCAGATATGCAGTTGCGTTCTTTGGGTGCTGAAATATTTTAATGAAATGATTCAAGGCTATTTTCCCCCTGGAAGACAGAGTTTAAGCCAACAGATATGCAGTACATTCCAATGAAAGTAGTGCGACGCACTCCAGGTCGGAGCAAAGGGTTTCTACACCTGGTTTCTACACCTATACTTTAAAACGGTTGTTTGGGCACAGCAATGTATCAGCCCCAGGAAGGCACGGTGAAGCACAGTCTTCATGTCACAGGGCCCGAGAATCTCTCAGAGCACTACCTACTGGGTAACACAGCAACCATTAGAAAGCTCCATAAAACTACTGGGAGGTTAGAGTGTTAGCTCACAATACATTCCAAACACAGTCAGCTTCTTCCTTAAGTTTATATTAAAAAAGGCTCACCTAGACTATAAATGCAATCAGAAGCGTAACGTGAATGCGTTCTGATCTCAATGACACGGGGACTTTGCTCTTTGGCTTAATACTTAGCAAAGTCGCAGTAATTTGGCAGCAGAAAAGACTCAAGCTCACTGAAAAACAGCCACTGAGAATTCCCTAGCAGTGATTACTCAGCAGTGTCATTTACATAAGGATTCTGCACAGCCCTTACTACGCTCCAAAGTGCTCTTCCATGAATGTCAGTAACTGGCCATTTGCCAGGCACGAAATAAGTAATAAAGCAAATAAAGACAGCAAGAAAATCAAAGCACATTTCTAACTTTTTAATAACTTCTGCTTGTGACGACCTTCTGTGCCTTGGAACTTCTGGTTTACATAAAATTAGGGCTGGAAAGGAAAAAAAAAAAACTTTTGATTGGTATAAATAAACAACCATGCAGTAAGTAAAAAGTACTAGAATCGCTGGATTTTTAAAGCTTTACGGAAAAAATATATACATCTAATAGATATCTAACTATGGGACTTAAGGGAAAAACATCTATTTTCTTAAGGACAAATTCTTCTGAGTTCTCAAAATATGAGCTTGGCCCTGAAGTTGGAAACAGCCTGGTTCGCAAGTAGAGAGGGAGTGACAATTTTTACAAGGTAAATGTAAATTACCTTTCATTTAAGGAGAAGTCAGGGGATTTAATTTAGTAACACCAGATTTAAGGTGTAGGGTTAAAAAAAAGAAACTCAGTTTTATCATTCAAAGCATGTTGAGAAGAAGAAATACGCTGTACTCTGAAACTCAGCGCCTGAACAAGATGACACTTGCGTGTGCACTGCTTGGAAAGGGACCCGCGTGCCGGCTGCATACAGCCCAGGCACCTGCTAAGGCTGGGGCTGGACACACCAAGGAGCAAAATAAAGCCCCACGCCCTGAGGCACTCGCCACAGAACAGCACACAGGAGAATCCCTTCTTTTTTCTTAAAAAGTTATTCAATCCATAATTGACTGAATCCACCAAAATCTTATGGATTTACTTCTCCATATCTAGAAAGGGGAAGCACCATGGCAGAGGGCACGTGTCTCCAAATATTCTGAAGATGAGCTGCAGCAGCCTGAGGCGCAGGGCTGCTGGAAATGGAAGGAGCCCTGGGAGATCAGAGTGCGCTGAGTGTAGGCACCGCAGGAGGCCTCGTGCCCTGCTCGGGGCAGAGGCAGGCTGAGCACAGGCAAGACCCACCCATCACGTGGGTCAGTGACGGGCATTTAAGTGGGAGACACAAAAATGAGGGACACCACGTACAGAAGGAAATCACGGAGGGAAGCAAACTTACTCTCTGAACCTTCGGGGGCTCTGGGCTAACACATACCCACACTAGAGCCTCGAGGCCGCGTCCAGACTACTCCTGGCCGCCCCTCGCACTGTGGCCCTCTCTACCTTCCTCCGCATCTTTATGTCCACCAATGGTTTCACAAGTTCTGACATCAAAGCACAGGAGTTCGAACCGACAGCCTGGATCCCTTATTGGAATAAAAATTCTCACAACATCAGTATTAGCAGGTGTTTCAAACAGTGAGCTTAAGGGTCAGTTTTGTAAGTTACGGTTTGTGCCTGTGATTCCCCAGTGAAGGGCACAGCACCCACTTGGACATGACGTCCAGGACGGCTGCTGGCGGGGCGGCGGTCCCTGCTGTGTACCAGAGCCACGGCAGGCACTGCGACAGGGCAGCCACATCCCCACTAACGGGCCCTTTTACACAGGGACGTGCTTTCATTTGGTTCACTCACTCGCCCACTGTGGTGAACTTTTACAGAGCACCTACTACGTGCCAGTGTTGTTGATCGGGACTGAGAGGGACGAGTCTATGCTCTCGAGGAGCTGGCATGCGGCTGCAGGAGGCAGGCAAGGAGAAAGTGAGGGGGAGGCCCCAGGGCAGGGCAGTGGGGACTTACTTCTTGCGGTCCTTTTTCAGGTTGCTACCCGATGCCATATAGGGCTGGTTCTGGAATATCTCAGAGGTAGCTTTCTTTTTAGAGAAAGCGATGATTTCTTCTTCCAAACATTTTCTCTTCTCTTCAAGCTTCATTCTCTCTTCCTGATGAACTCTTTTAAGGTGCTCGAATTTGGCCTGCAGCTGTGAAACAAAGGTGCGATTCCCATGGCTGCCACAGCGTGGAGCCCACACCCAGGCACGCTCCTGCTCAGGAAAACCAAGGCTAACCAGAACCCAACCCTGGGCCAGCCACACTAGTCTTCCTCAACTCCGAAGTTCAGGCGCAAGGACAGCTCACACATGCAACCATCTTGGGAACTCTGACTTTAAATGAGTTCTCATGCAAAAATGCTTGAGCCAAATGGGATAAAAACTATAGCCTCATGAATAAAACTCAGTTTTCAAAACATCTGACCTTTTTCTCGAGCTTTTCTCACTTAACATTTTTCCCACAAAACCTTCTAAATTAAGGTTTCTCAAATTTATACTCAATTTGGAGACACAAAATACAGGAACAAATTATTAAAAAGAAGGAAGGGAAAATCATTATTTCCAAACAAAGATAACAGGGGGGTGAAATCGCTCTTGAACACTGTCCGGGTAAACCTCACTTGGAAAGTCGGTTGTCAATTTCTGTGTTAAGAACCTTACAAGTTTCCATTCAACTTCCTGAAATCTAGATGAAATACACAAATCCTAAGTTCAGAGACAGCTTTGTATATAAAAACACCTACTGTAATAGAATTTACACACTATAGGGCCAGCAGATGGCATGGTGGTTAAGGGCCCTGGATTCCCACATTGCTGACTGCGGTTTGAGTCCCGGACCTGATGGCTTCCTTTCTCGCTTTCCCTTTCTCTCACCCTCTCTCTCTGTCTATTCAAATTAAAAAATAATAACAACAAATGGAATTAAGTAAATAAATAATTATTTTTAAAAATAAAGAATTATAATGGTAAACAATAGCCTAAGTATCCAGTAAAACAAATAAAAAAGTATGCTAATAAATTCACTAGGCGCAGCTGCCCTGTAACAGGAAGGACTGAGAGCCAGAGGCAGTTAAGCAGCAGATACAGGAGAGCTCTCTGCCCTCCCACTACAAGGTCTTCAAAGAGTTCATGAAAGGGGCCCAGCAGGTGGCATGGTGGTTAAGGTGCTGGACTCCCACATGGCAGACCATGGTTCCAGTCCTGGACTGGGCGTCTTGCTTTCTCACTTTCTCTTTCTTTCTCTCTCTGGTCAAATTAAAAAATAAACAATAACAAATAAAAATAAATATTTTTTAAAAGTTCACAGGAAGCACAAGTATAGCAGAAAACTATGCATGGATTTCAAGTCTTTTTTTTGCCTGTACTTCAATTACATTTTCTACAAACTTCTCAATCACCCTATCATTTGCCCAAAGGCAGGATACAGATTTACGACAAGAGGTATCCTGTCCCTCCTGTCCCCAGCCCACTCCCACAAGAACAGGGTTAACCTCTGGACACAGGGCAAGGCCCTTGTGAGCCTGGAAGAGGAAGGCCCTGGGAGTCCACGTGGACAAGCTTCACTGGCCAGCCTTCTACCGCTAGTACCTGCCTCCCCAGCACTGCCACCCTTGGAGAGCCACAGTCCTTGCCCTTTGCCTGTCACATCTCTAGAAACTTCCTGTCCTCTGTTGAAGGTGCTACATGAGCTGGAAATCAAAGCCACGGGCTGGAGGACTGCTCACCGCCTGTGTCCGCCGTGGACGTGTGAAATACGACATTCAAATGCCTGTTCTTCTCCCAGTAATCTGAGAACGGGGCGCCTACTCCCACTAAGAACCCACAGGGACTGTTATCCCCTACACAGTCATTGAGTTTTGCAAATGTTTACAACATCACAGCTCAGATTTCCCTTTAAGAGAAGAAGGCAGAGACGTTGAAGGACGAGTACTGACTACACGATTCCGCGGGCTTCTCCTTCGTTGGGGCTGAGAATCATCTTGATAAACCCATGAAGGGGGTATGCCACCTTGGACATCAACCTAAAGGCAGCCTGTTGGGCTTTTCTGTCCCGCATATTTTTTTAATTGCCAAGGATATGTGTACTCGCCAGAGAAGAGACAGAGAGACAGAGTCAGAGAACCCTCCAATGGATCTGGCCACACCACAATCCTCCTTCTCCCATCCCTTCTTCCAGTTGGGACTTGGGCTGTGTACGCACATGTACACAAGGCACTGGGGCCAGGATTCAAACCACAGTCAGCCTTATTAACCTCAAGTTAAGAAAGCGCCCGGGTGGATGATGGAAGAAATCCTCAAAGCTGCAGAGGGCATAACACCGAGAACCAGCAGACAAAAAGAAGGTAGAAAGAAGTCCAGGCCTCTCTACACTCCCTGGGGAGCGGGGCTCCCCCCGCTGTGCTCCACCATGACCTGAGCACTCCCCTCGCACACCGCGCCTGGGCCCCGGGGCCGCGCCTCTGAGGACTGCTCACCCCGATGCCTTTTTATCTTCTCAGGCCCAGAACCCAGCCTAGCAGATGCTGCTGCTTAGTAGGAGCACATTCTAGAAGCTGTGGGAGACCTAGCAGTGAGTGGAACAGAGACAGGACACACGTGAGGCTCTGCATGCAAGCTCAGAGAGTCGAGGTAAGGGAGAATGTGGGCAGACCTGCTCCGACGGGGGTTTACCTCGAAAACAAGGAAACGAAGCCCTGAGTAGCAGGTGTGTCGTGAATCAGCTGCGTGCGTGCAGCCAGCAGCACAGGCGCGGGGCCAGGTGCCAGATCAAAACCAGAGCTACTCTGTCCAGGCCTGAGACATGCCCGAGATCCACATTCTCAGCTCTGAGTAGCAACTGGGCACTCAAAGAGCAGGACTAGGTGTCTAGGAAGGATGGCGTGGACTAGTCGAGGAAACACCGCGCTAATAATCAGAGGCTGGGGCAAACACCAGAGACCTGAACTCCCGCCTAATAAAGCCTTCCATTCCAAACGTGGGTAGGTAGCCCTGGGAACCAGGTAGCCCTGAGTGCAGAACGCCAAAGGGAGACAGGGTTGAAATGCTGAAGTCGGTGACTAAGGAAGGCCCTGCTCAACTGAGTCTGTCATTCCAGAGGCTGCGTTCACAGAGAAGCACAAGTCCTGGGACCAGCAGTTAGCACGATGGCTATGTCGCTGGACTCCCACATAGTCGACCACGGTTCGCGTCCTGGACCCGGTGGCTTAAACTCATGCTGGATGCGTGTGCGTGCGTGCCCAAGATCCCGAGAGGAGAATGGAGGAGAAGGGATTGTGGCGTGACCATCCCCCCAGGGAGGTGACTTCTCGCTTTCTGTCTCTCTGTCTCTGTCTGTCTGGCAAGCGCACGCACCCTATAGCAAAAACCTCTCCAAAAAAAATAAAAAGAAAAGAAAAGAAGCACAAGTCCTACATATTTGCTTATTTAAGTGGTTCCTGCTTAAAAACAAAAAATGTGTACAACACAAACACTTCCATGCACACATACACTCAGACTCTTCAAAAAGCTCATGAGACATGCACATTATGGAAAACTGCATTGATTTTAGTTTTTTTGTACCAAAATAAACTCTACTTTAATTTCATTATTCCATAAAGTTTTTTGAAGTCCCTGACTACTTAAATTTCTAGCTGCATAACTTAAATGCACACGAGACTGTCTTGAGAGGTTAAAGAACACTTTCCATACCATTTATGTAGGCTGACTAACAGTCCAGTATTCTAAAAGGACGGGAGGAGGGTATGGACGTTACTGCTATTCACATTATGAAGTTTACAGCTTTTGATAGCAGCAACAGCGTCCAAGACCATGAAGTGCTCACTCATGATTAATTACTACAACGGGCATTTAAACGTTTAAAATATTCCAAAAATTGGAAACAAAGGCTTATCTTTTGGCTGTTGATAGTCGTCAATTTGCTTAAGATTAAGTTGCCAATGTGGAACAAGAATATATCTTTTGTGAACACTACTTTATCCACTTTTCAGAAACAGAACTGAATGCTACAGAAGACTGCTCTCTTACTGAGCTGCTGGACAGCTTTCACCTCAGCTCTGTGCCTCCTTGCAGCCCCTCTTTGCACTGACCGCAGAGAAGCTGAGTCCAGTCCATGCGCCATTTGAGGCACCGCAAGCCAAGGTTCTCGGCTGCCTCTTGGCATGTGGGCTTCTCCCCTGCGGCCTGTATCATAAGGCTCCTGTGGTCCTCACATCAAGGTTGTAATAATGTAGCTGCTTTTCTTTTGGTAAATTATCTAGAATACATTTTGGAAATAGGGGCATAAATATTAAACAAAATATAAAAACACTATACAGAAAGACCAGCAGATGACATGATGGTTACATCACTGGACTCCCTGACTCAGTGGCTTAAAATTCACAGCAGGCACGTGTACGTGTGTGCCCAAAATCCCAAGAGGAGAATGGAGAAGGGACTGTGGTGTGGCCATCCCCCTGGGGGGTGAGTTCTGCTTTTGTCCTCTCTGGCGAGGACGAGCACATGCACACTACGACGAAAATCTCTCTCACAAACAAACAAACAAACAAAAACTACACAGAAACAGACTTACACCTTACATACAAAAACCGGCAGGTAGAAAGACCGCGACAGCTATGTCTGATGTGAGGAGTAACTACTAACGTGAGCAGCGTGCGCTCTCTCGTGTGGGAGAACGCGCGGGGAGTCCCACGTCTGTGGTGTCCTACCTGACGTGCCTCAGCAGTTCATCCAGAATGAGGTCAGAAAGGGCGAGAAGACAACAGGTCTGTTTGTTCTCACACCACGTAACGGTTCACAGGCCATTACCTAAAACCCAGCACTTGAAGCTGACTATGTATGAAAATCCAGATGTATACAAAAGCCCAACTAAGGGATATTTGTTTCATGACAATACTGGCAAGGATATGTTAAATAATGTCTTCTAATACAGAACCAAACAATGTTTGGGGTGGTACCTCATTCTAGTGACTGCCTGTATCTTATGGATAACAACTTTAAAGTGTTAGCAGCCAAGTACTGGGGGGCCAGATGTCCCAGTCTGCTAGCAAAGACCTGGTTTATGCCTCTTTATTGTCCTAACATCATTAATTAGCCTCCTTTCTCTCTGAAAACACTCGAACCGGGTCCCAGGCCACCATAATCCACTTTGTCTAAAACTACATAATTAAAAGTTTGCAATTCTCTTGGGACCAGTAGTTGGCATAATAGCTATGTCGCTGGACTCCCATGTAGTTGACCGCAGTTCAAGTCCCAGACCCGGCAGCTTAAATTCACACCAGGCGTATGTGCGTGCCCAAGATCCCAAAAGGAGAATGGAGGAGAAGGGATTGCAGCGCGGCCATCCTCTTGAAGGGTGATTTCTTGCTTTCTGTCTATCTGTCTCTGTCTTTCTGGCAAGCGTATGCACCCTACAGCAAAAACTTCTCCAAAAAAAAAAAAAGTTTAGAACTCTCATGGAAACTTAGGTAGCTGATGCTTTAGCTTTAAATTTGTTTCATCGTTTGTTTAATATATATATATATATTCTTAACACAAAAAAGCACTTAAATCATGAATTAAAAAAAAAAAAGTTAAGTATCACCTAGACAAACTCTATCTATCGATTTTTCAGATAAGTCTCCCCAAATTTTCAATTCTCCTTTTAAATAATGCATTTAAGCAAAACACTCTTAAAATTCCTTTTAATTTTAGAATTAAAGAATGGACTGTATGGTGGTTAAGGGATCAGACCTACATATCCAGCAGCAGTGAGTGCCACCCCCCCCCAGAAGCTCGGAAACATGCTGGGCCTGTTTGAATGCAAGCCCGAATCCCAACGCAGTGGAGAAATGGAGACGAAGGTGCGGTGTGACCGTGCCCCCAGAATGTGCTTTCTTCCCCTCGCCATGGCTGTCTCTCTGCCGAGAAGTGAATATGCCCTCTGACAAATTAAAAACATTAAAAAGATTATAAGCTACTTCTACTCCTCTTTCTTCTCAGTGGTGAAACTAAGAATCATAATATATGAGAGGTAAATGCTTAAAGTTGTACCTTACTATTTCTTTTTTTTTTTTGGAGAGGTTTTCGCTATAGGGCGCGTGCGCTCGCCAGACAGACAGAGAGAGACAGAGACAGAAAGCGAGAAATCACCACCCAGGGGGGATGGTCACGCTGCAATCCTTTCTCCATTCTCCTCTCAGGATCCTGGGCACGCACGCACATGCGCCCGGCGTGAGTTTTAAGCCACCGGGTCTGGGACACAAACTGCGGTCAACTACGTGGGAGTCCAGCGACATTGCCATTACGCTAACTGCTGGTTCCCTACCTTACTATTTCTTAAGCATGAACCTACTCAAAGAAAAATCATCAAACCTATTGCCTACTCATCACAACTCCTTCCTTAATATTTATACTTAGGGGACCAGCAAGTAGTGTAATGGTTGTGTTGCTGGACTCCCACGTAGTCAACTGCGGTTTAAGTCCTGGTCCCAGAGGCTTAAAACTCATGCTGGGCACGTGTGTGAATACCAATAGGAGAATGGAGGAGGAGGGACTGTGGTATGGCCATCCCCCTGGGGGATGATTTCCCGCTTTCTGTCTCTCTGCCAAACTCATGCGCCCTATAACAAAACTCTCTTTAAAAATAATAACAATTTTAACACTTAAAAAAATTCCAAACTAGCAAGTATTCTTGAATAAAATAGAAGAAACTAAACAAAAGTGATATGCAAATGCATTTAAGAATGAGTCTTGGTTCAAAAACAAATCATCAGGGAAATGCAAAGTAAAAACCACAGCAGTTCTTATCTCCCCTACTCAGAATGGCAATGATGAGGAATTCATATACTGCTAGGGGGAATTTAAAATAACCTATATGGAAGATAGTGTGGGGTTTCTCAAAACATTAACAACAGAATCGCCATATAATCTAGCAGTCTCACTACACCACTAGGTCTACACCCAGGGGACATGACATCAGTATGCCAAGCACCCCGTACTCCCATGTTTACTGCAGCACTGTCCACGACAGCCAACACGGGAGATCAACCCACGTATCCATCAAGGACGGGATGCATAAAAAATGCAGTATACTTGCATAGTGGAATACTATTCGACCATAAAAAAAGAATAAATCACTGTCGTGTGCAAAAAGACAAGCTTGGAGGACATGATATTAAGCAAAATAAACTGGGAACAAGGCCTCACTTACACGTAGGATCTAAAAACATTCGTGTCATACAAGATGAGAGTAGAATGCCAATTACCAGAGGCTCATAAGGGTAGGAAAAAGAAGGCTGGAAGGGGTTAGTCTACGGGTACAAAGTTACACTTAAATAGAGGACTAAGTCTGATGTCCCACTGCACGGCAGAGTGACTATAATGAATAAGACAGTATATATTTCAAATTAGCTAGAGGAGAGAATTTCGAAATTTCTCACTACAAAGTATAAATATCTGAGGTGCTGGACATGGTAAGAACCCTGATTTAAAGATCATTACACACTGTATTCATTTATCAAAACATCACACTGTACCCCATAAATACGTACAATTAGTGTAAGTCAATTAAAAGTTAAAATAAAAATAAAACAAGGTGGATCTGTGGCCTAGAGGTTAAGGGAGCCAGATCCCACATGACCAACTGCTTGGTTCAAATCCTGGCCGTGGTGGCTTGGAAAGCATGCTGGGCATGTGGACAGGCCAAATCACAACAGGGTGGAGAGATGGAGACAGACTGAGGCAGGCCGTACCCCAGCAGAGGCGGTACTCTCTTCCTCTCTGCTCTGTCTCTCTGATAAACACACTTGCCCTTCAGAAATTAACAGCAACAACAACGAAAACTGAAAAAACAACTCTTCATAACCTAGTTCATTATAGATTCTAGGTAAGCTAGTTCCAATGGAAGAATATTTGTTCTAAGGCCAAAATTTTAATTTGATTTCAGACTATGATTATATTAAGATTACATTCAAACATTATATATTAAAATAGTCACTTTTTTTGAGAGAGATATTTTTGGTATAGGGCGTCAGGACCAGCAGTTGGTGGAATGGCTATGTTGCTGGACTCCCATGTAGTCGACCATGGTTCAAGTATTGGGCCAGGTGGCTTAAATTCACACCAGGCGCGTGTGCGTGCATGCCCAAGGTCCCAAGAGGAAAATGGAGGAGAAGGGATTGTGACATGGCCATCCCCCCCTCCCGGGGTGATTTCTTGCTTTCTGTCTCTCTGGCGAGCGCATGTACCCTTTAGCAAAAACCTCTCAAGAGAAAAAAAAAGTACGGGGCGTGTGTGCTCACCAGAGAGACAGAGAAAGATGGAGAGAAGGAAAGAAAGAAATCACCCTCTGAGGGGGATGGCCACACCACCTTTAAGGATTTGGGGTATGCATGCACATGCACCCGATGTGAGTTTCAAGCCGCCGAGTCTGGGACCTGAACCATGGTCAGCCGTGTGGGAGCCCAGTGGCTTAACCACTACACTACCAGCTGGGTCCCCAAAGAGCTACTTTTTAAAGGACAACTTGCTTCCAAAAAAGATTACTAAATTCTTGGGAAAAAAATCTCCCAGACGAATAAGGACAGCTCAGAAGTGAAGGCAAACCGGATCAAACCAGCACACGCACCTCTCTTTCAGCTTCTTTCAAAATGGCTTCTTTTTCCTTTACTCGCTGCACAAACATCTGCTTCATTTCCTCTTCCTTCCTTTGCCGTTCACCATAAAATTCATGTCTTTTGGCTTCATAAGTCTCCTGAAGACTAAAAACGTTATGTGTCACTCTCTTGTTCAAAAGATGGTGTAACAAACCTGTAAAAATAGGCCTCAGATACACATTAATAACATGTACCAGTATCTTCTTACATAAAGCAACCCAGAACATGACATGTTTTGTAATATGAGATTCAAAAGCCACAGTGACACAGCTGAGACAAAGAACCAGAATTCTGAAATCTGCGTTCCAATCAATGCCCAGGAAACACGTCCGCTTCACTCCCGTCGCGTGCCTGCTGTTTCCTTACTAGTACCGCGGTGCCTAGACCCCTGCTGTCCTGACTGCCCTTGCCCCCGTTACCTGACCCCCCAGGCTCTGGGGGAGCCTGTGAGGCTGTCTTCTTGCCATTTCTACAAACAGCCTATGGCGGCCCAACCAGATCTTCCCGTTTCTCTGTCCTGCCACCACAATAATCTTCTAATTGAAGTTCTAAGGGTCCTAGCTCCTCTTTCACTTAGTTCTTTTGTTCATTCCCTAGATTTTCTATGGGAATATACATATATATATATAGGAAGTGTTACCTTTCTCCCTGCATTAGAGTTTATGCTATCTACAATATACACAGCACTTAAGAAATTTTGCAATGTGGCCTAGTTCTACCTTCCTAAATTAATTTCTCACCAAACATTCACACTACCCTGCTCACTGTCCTTGAAATACGATCACGTGAGGCTTTAGGGCCCACTGCCCACTCACTCTGCCTTGCTAATCCTCTATCCCTCAAATCAAACTCAAATGCGGCTTCCTCTGTAGAGCCCTCGCCACCTGGAATTCTCTTCCTTCCAAGTACTTCTGTGGCATTTATATCCTGCCCACCCTTCTTCTAACAGGTCACAAATCTTGAGGCAAGGGATTGAATCCACTAATTTCTGTACTCTGACTATCCAGTAGAGTTCTCTAGACAGTTCAGTTTCTTTATAACTGTTTCTTCAATGACAGAGAGGAACAAGCACGCTCAACAGTCCTCAGGAAATGACCCATGCCAGTCTCAGCTGCCCAGAACACAGGCACTCACTGTGTTTAGGGAGGTTCTGGTCACTACCCAGGACATTTCCCATGTGGGTGCAGCTGCACCACTGCCAGGACTCTATCAAATGCAGGTTGTTAAAAAATGCTTTATTAACCTATTTACAAGAACACTTGAGTTGCTTAGGAGAAAACTGAATCTACCTGGTGAAGGGAAGAGACCTAACACTGGTTGAGTATCTGCTGCCAGCAGTGTTCCTCTGGAGGCCTTGTGCTCGGTGTTTTATCCCCACGGCAACCCCGAAGCAAAGCCCTGGCACCGTTTTACGGGTTAAGAAAACCAAAGCTCAGGGCAAGCAGGTGGTGTGGAGGTTAAGGTGGCTGGATCCCACATGGCCAATTCCACAGTTCAAGTCCCAGACCTGGCAGCTTAAAAATCACACTGGACACGTGTGTGCGTGTGCCCAAATCCCAAGAGGAAAATGGAAGAAGAAGGGATTACAGTGTGGTCATCCTCCCTGAAGGATGATTTCTCACCTTCTCTCTTTCTCCCTGGCAAGCCTGCACATGCTACAGCAAAAACTGAAAACTTAGAAAAGAAGAAAGAAAACCAAAGATCAGAGAATTTGGCCGAAGCAGCATGGCAGAGATGTAAAAAGCTGGGGTGTGGACCAGGCCAGACTTGTTCCAAGCCCACACTCCCAACCACCTTAGCGAGGCTGCCTACAGTGCTGTCTTGGCTGGAGACCAGGTAAGGACTGATCCTACACATCTGCCATCCCACTGCACCTCCAACTTCTGAAAATACACATTTTGAGGCTGACTTTAAGTTAAGAACTTGCACTGTCTTTCCACAAATGCTTAAGAAAATTGTAACTCCTGGAAAAAAAGTGTTTATGGTAAACCAGATACAACCACTGTCTGCTTCCCCCATTCTAGCATGAAAGTGGCCTGGGCTCATGAATACCTAAGGCCAACATACTGCCACAGGTGTGGGTCCTACCTTTACAGCAAAGTCGGAAACCAAAGAGGAAGCTGTGCCCGTGTGTTCAAGGAGAGCCCTCCGCCCTCCACTGGGGGCTGGTGGTTTATGTGCTGCTCACCTCTGACAAGCCTGTGGACTTCCCAAGTCGACTGCAGCCTGTATGCAGAACGCTCGCTACCTCTTCAGCGTTTCAGACAGATTGTTGCCATAATTATATCAAATACTTAAGCAATTCTAAAATTCTACGTAAACTTTCCTTTAAAACTATGGGTCCCACAACACTTCAAAGACTGATTTTGTACTGAAATGTCAAAGCTGATTAACTGAGAAAGAGACTAAGTAGCTACGTTATTCTGAAATTACTAAACCTGGGGATTTAGACCATTTCATAAAAGCATGTTTGAATAATTAATATGAAAATATTAAGGCCAGTTAATGAAAACCGTAAGAGTATAATGCCATCGACTTGGGCCTTGTGACAAGCGCGTGACCCATATTGGGAGATTAGGACACACCGATGACTCAGCACAGCCATTAAAGGAAAGTACATGGAAGAACAAATGGATAGGGACCAGCAGGTGGTGTGGTGGCTAAGACGCTGGACACTCCCACATGGCTGACCACGGTTCAAGTCCTGGTCCTGGTGGCTTGCTTTCCCTCTCTCTCTCCCTCTGTGTGTGTGTCTCTCTCTGGTCAAATTAAAAATAAATGAATGAATAAATAAAGTTAAATAAATAACTCTTTAACAAAAGAAAGGAAAACAATCGATGGTCTGGCGCAGATGGCTGGGAAGTAGAGAATGAAAGCCCACCTAACAGGTTCAGGTAACTTGTATTTTTCATTATGGCTAGAAGCACAGCACTGAGCGGCAGATGTTACATGCCAACCAAATTACACTGACTTCCAAACTGAACAGGGAAGGTTCCCCAGAAAATAAAATGTAACTTCCTGAGACTATAGAAAATAACGCTTCCGAATACATGAGGCTATAATGAACTATAGGTGCTTTATCAAATCACTTGTTCAGAAATGAGAAGGAACCAGAGAGACATTTTGCCTGAGCATGACCCCAGAAATGCAGCAATCTACTGAGACATGTCTCCTCCCTTCTGTGGGAAGGGCAGAGACCTGGCTTGCACTCCCGACCCTCTGCAGCCTGGCCTGACGTGGAGTCCCTCAGGGAGCGGGTACAGCCCAGGCCGAGCAGAGCTGCTCTGCGAGCGGGTGTGCTGGGCAGCCTGACTCACTGCCACCGTCTGCCTCTCTCCTTTTGCTCCCATCATCCTGATTAGCCTTTGGGAGGCCACCTATGCCCCGGGGCACAGCCTGACCCAATCACTCAGGTTCATGCCACATGGCACGTGACCCACGCCGGGCCATGGAGCTCTCCCTCCTTCTCCAGCACAGTGGTTAGGTGCTATGCACTGACCGCAGATTCCACATGGTTGAATGTTTGAATCCTGCCCCAGTGGCTTGAAAAGCACGCTGGATGTGTGGCGTATGCATGCCCCAAGTCCTAATGGGATGAAGCAACGGAGGAGATCACGTCGTGACCATGCCCAACCTAGGGGAGCGTTGTCTGTCGAGAGTCATTTAAAACAAACCAAACTGTGGAGAAAGCACTTCTGTACTTGACCCTCAGCCCAACACGACTTCTCGCTCCTTCCGTGATGCCCTGCCTTCTTCACTTGACTGCCAAGACCTTCTCAAGCCCTCCACCTGCCCTCCGCTGACAGGTGCTGGAAAGAAGCCAGGCTGCTCTGAGGCACCTTCCTCCTGGCGTGCTGCAGTCTGCAGACGGGCTCGTACCTGCTCGTTTTCAGTTAACTATCACAAATGCCTATGCTTTTTTTGTTGTTTTGCTATAGAGCACATGTGCTCACTGGAGAAAGAGAGGGAGGGAGAGGGAGAAGTGAGGAATCACCCCCAGAGTCCCTGCTCCCTTCTCCTGTAAGGGTTTTGGGCACGTGCATGCACCTGCACACCCAGCATGTGTTCAAGCCCTTGGGTCCAGGACTCCAGCACACAGTTGGCCTTGTGTGGTCCAGTCCCTTAACCACCACACCACCTGCTGGCCCAATGCTTATGCCTTGTAAGCGTGTTCCTCTGGCCCAGCCTTTCTCCCTGTGCTGCAGAGGAACCTCTGAAACCTGGCCCTAACCAAGCTAATGATCGCACCATGCCGACCATGGCCTGCCACCCAGGAAAGCTGGTCCTTCACTGACACCCTTCCCACCGGACGGCATAACCATCTGTTCCACCTGCCTATCCACAGAAACCATAAATCCAGGAAGCAAGTAGCCTCCTGATGGCATTTCTGGCAATGCCTGCCTTTTTACATTAGACCCAAACAGCCATTAAGTCCTTCCAATTTCACCTCCTACATAGCTCTCAGATACCTTTCAGTTCTCCTCATTTTCATTGCTATTACTGCAGTGCACAAGAAATACTTCCCTAACTGGTCTTTCCTAAGCATCTTTGCACACCCCTTCAGTATATCCTGAACCTTATAGCCAAGAGTGAATAGTGGTAACATCGCTAGACTGCCACATAGTCAACTGCAGTTCAAATCCCAGACCTGGTGGCTTAAAACTCACACTGGGCACATGTGCATGTGTGCCCAAAATCCCAAGAGGAGAATGGAGGAGAAGGGACTGTGGCATGGCCATCCTTCCAAGAGGTGATTTCTCGCTTTCTGTCCCTCTGTCTCTCTGGTAAGCACATATGCCCTGTAGCAAAAATGAAAGAAAGAAAGAGAGAGAGGGAGAGAGAAAGAGAGAGAGAGAGAGAGAGAGAGGGAGGGAGGGAGAAGAAAGGAAGGAAAGAAATACAAGTAGAAACACTCCTAGAATGGTTTTGCCTTCTCCTTAAGACACAGACACAACGAAGGCCTCCAGAGTTAAGCTCCTGCCTGTTCGTGGGTCTCACGCCCCGCCCGTCTACACTCCGGACACTGGCCGCTGCCAGAATCTCGCACACACCACTCTCCTCTGCCTGCAGGCCCTTTGCACATGTCTTGCCCTCTTTCCTGGAGCAGTCACTGCCTCAGAAGTTGTCCCTGATTTTCCAGTTTAACTTAGGACATGCCTCCTCTTCCTGCTATAGTTTGAACTAAAAATCATTAACAAACGGTCTTATTTCCTGGTGTGGGAAGGTCTCTGTCCTGACTAAAACTCAAGCTGAAATCCCACTGCCAATGCAATGCCATCAGGGACGCAGGGGATTTACGGCGTGAACGGGGAGTTCTGTCAGTTCCCTTCCTCAGTCTCAGGGGCTTACCTTCCACCCTCATCCCAGTGAAAGAGCCTCACCAGGTCCTGCACCATCTTCCTGGTCCCCCAGCCTCCAGAACCAAAGAACCTTCCTGCGTAAGTTACCCGGCCTATGAGACCCTGTCACTGCCGCAGAAGCAGGCTAAGACCCCGGCGCCTTATCAGGGCCACCTCTCCTTCAGAGCACACATCACAGCCACACCCTTCCATGCAGTCGGTTCCAGGCTGGCCTCTCCGACAAGACCCAGGCTCTCATGGCAGCCGCCCTGTGTGACCTCCCGCACGGAGCCCAGAGCCCTGCCAACAGCAGACATTTAAACATACTCAGGGCCAGCTGGGTGGCACGGCTGGAACGTGCTGCTCAAGAGAAGCTGGATCCTAGTGGTGACCATAGTGAAGGCCCCGTCTGGCCAGCCTGAAATGGGCCAGGCACCCGCATGAGCACCCAGGTACTGAGGGACTGCAGCATGACCAGACCCCTGGAGGGTGTTCACTGCGCTTTCATTCTCAGGTGTGTGTGCACACTGTCGTAAATAAAGAAAAAAATCTGTTAAATAAAAACTTACGCCCTTTTTATGCCCTTTTCTGGACTGAGTCCTACTGCTCCACTGGACTCTCTCCACCCTCAGTTCTCCAGCTCCAGATTGACTGTGTGAAAACCTATCAAATTTCACCCGAGTACTGAATAAGTGGCTTAAAGCTAACACTTCCAAAACCTCTCTATTGCCATCTCCCTGTGCCCCGTGCCCTTCTCATTCAGTCACCGATATCACCACCATTCACCCATTCTCAGATCCAAACAGCAGCCAACGCTATCCCGAGCCCTCCCTTTCCCTGACGTCCACCGGGCCAGCTGCACTTCAAGTCATGAGCCTACGCCTGCTCGCCCCCACCCACGACCACCTGCCCAGGCCTTGGTGGTCTCCTGCCTCGACTGCCATGGCTGCTTCCCCAGAGGGTTGGAGCACCCACCTCTCACCCCAGCTCGTCTGTCTGAACCCACACGAGCAGCAGCATCCAAGCAGAAGGCCATCACCATCACTTACTGTGTGACTGTATGAGGACTTTAAAATGCCAGTTCCTGGGCTCCATCCCTGGAAAGGCTAACTCTGCACTTCTATATCACCCACAGGCCACTGACGACGAGCCCCCACCCCCAGGGCACTTCCAAGCTTCCCACCTGCTGTACTCAACTCCTTGGTGCATGCAGAGACCTCTCTATGGTCAGAGACTTGGCAGACCTGAGAAGTAAAGCCTGCTTTAAGGAACACGAGGGGAGGCACCCCGTGGTGACTGATCTTTAAGGAAAGTAATGAGAATATCATGGGTTGCCAGAATTCCTGGCCTCCACCCAGCACAGCATGCCTGCAATTGATGAGGCAGGATCTTCACTTATTATGCTGCCAGAAGCTAAAACCTAGTTCAACCCGTAAGACAGAAACGTTTTAAAGTTAACTCTGTCTACGATTAAACCTTCCAAGAGTCAGAGAGGTCACGCCCAGGCTGAGGCTCCCCTCTCGTAACTGCTGAGGGCTGACGCCCGGGGAAGGCACCGCCAGGTCTGCTTTCCCCCTTGTAAAAGCCTCTGGAACGCGGCCTCAGGCTGACCTGATGCAGCAAGTGAAGGATTGGCCTTTCACGGGCATGTCTTCATCAGGAGGGAGAAATGAGTCCAGGATGCAGCACCACAGAGAACTACCCTGGGAGTTCACGAGTTCACCCTCATCATCACTCAAGAGGGTCAGCAAGGCCTGGAACTCTGACCTAACTCCGACTCCCCCAGTCTTCCTTTACAAGATGTTTTGCTAAGTTTCAGGCATTCCAAACCTTTCATCAGGATAAAAACAATGTTTTAGTTTAATTATGATTTCTGTTCCAACTTTCTTTTGTGATAATTGTTAAGTAGACTCTCATGTGTTTCAAATAAATACAAAAGTAAAACCAAGTAACAAGAGTTTCACCATCACTTACTTATGTCAGCATACACCGAAACAGCACGCATTTACTAGGCTCTTCCTTCTACTTCTTAGATTTTTTTTTTTTGCCATAGGACATGTGCGCTCACTGGAGAGAGACAGAGACATCACCCCGCAGGGGAGATGACCACGCTGCAATCCACTCTGCACCTCTCCTTTCAGGATTTTGGGCACACACACATACACCCAGCTTGTTCTTTAGGCTGCCAGTTCAGGACTTGAACTGCAGTCAGCCATGTGGGATCCAGCGGCTTAAATACCACACACACCTGTTAGCCCCCCTCCTACTTTATTTCTTTGGCGTCAGACAGGACTTAAAGACCCTTCAAAAACAAAAGATAATGGGACCAGCACTTAGCGTAATGGCTATGTCGCTGGACTCCCATGTATTCGACTGCGGTTCGCATCCTGGACCCAATAGCTTAAACTCATGCCGAGCACGTGAGCATGTGTGCCCAAGATCCTGAGAAGAGAATGGAGGAGAAGGGATTGCGGCGTGGCCATCTCCCTGGGGGGTGATTTCTCACTTTCTGTCACTCTGTCTCTCTCTGTCTGGCAAGCGCACATGCCCTATGACGAAAACCTCTCAAAAAAAAAAAAAGGCAAAAGCTATCAAGCGGCAGGAGAAGCACAGTAAGGAATCACTCCCAAAGAGTCTGTTTCATGGCTGGGAGGTTTCTGCAGGCACCTCTCCATCCTCCTGGACAGGCTTCCTGAGCGCCCCTCACCTGACCCGCTTTTTCTCTGGGGCCACGACTGCTGTACCCACTGAGCGCCCCTCACCTGACCGGCTTGTTCTCGGGGCCCACGTCTGCGAAGCCCATCTCCTCCAGCTTGCAGCGCCGGTACAGCTCGTAGTGCCTGGCGTGGGTCTGCTCCCGCAGGTCCTCCATGTTGGTGCAGATGAGCATCTCCCGCAGCTTCACGAAGTCGCAGTGGTTCTCATTCTCCACTAGCCAAAGTCGGAAAAAACACCAGTTTTCAATTCTTGGCAACACAATTTGTGTCTGTTGCATCAACAAATAAATGAAAGCACACATGAAACAAACAGTGACATGATCAGTCTGGTTAACAGCTAAGATTACTTTATACAGTGACTAAGGAACAAACTCCCTCATTGTACACAGGGTACTATCAGAAATGTTAATTAACAGACCAGGAGATTTGCTTTACATAGAATAGCCAGTGGATAAACAGAGAATAGCAAAGAAACACGTTATGTCACCACATGCCCCAGTTACTAGTACTGTTAGCAGCTCACAGACCATCTTCAGGACACTTCATGTAGTGCTTAAAAAGAGTGTATGACATTATTTCACTAAAGTTTCAAAGTAGTAAATTTTGCAAACTCAGGAACATCACCTGTGCATGCTGTAATTATCAACTTTTCATATAACACCACCTCTAGGAGCCTGTGTTAGACACTGTTCGACATCAGTGAACACTCTTACATGGGCCTTCTATGTTTGTGATGACCAGGGGACTAAAAATAAACATTACTGTAACCAATAGCTTAAGGACAAGGACTACTTTTTATGCTTTCTACACATTAAAAATGTTAAGTTTTCTTGATATTTTTCATTAATTACAAAATCTATCCACTTAAAAAAAGGAACATTTAGATCTTACACTAGTAGGGGTAACCCATTCCCCATCGTTGGCATCAGAAGGAAAGGAACCCGTCTGCTTACTTACCGTCGTGGTCCACTACTATTCTGTTCAGAAATACCAGGTGTGTATGACTTACAGTGAATTTATTTGGCTGACGACTCAGGGGGCTAAAGTCTACGAGCACGGGACTGGCATCTGGCCCGCCTCTGGTGCTTCTTCACAATGTGGCTGATGGAAGCAGGCAGGAAACAGGCTTGTAGACAGACACCTTACTTTGATAACCATCTCTCAGGGAGTCAACCTCTCCCAGGAAAGCAAGAACTGTCTCCCTCCTTCCCGCTAGGTGGCATTAATCTCTTCATGAGGGGACGCCCCATGAAACAAACACCACCCACTGGACCTCACCTCCTGAAGTCTCACCACTTCCCAACACCATTACGCTGGGGACCAAGTCTCCAGCACATGAGCCTTTGGGGGACAGACTATACCCAAGCTATAGCACTTGCTCCTTACAATGCTGGATAAATAGTTTGTCAAGTGGGTTTCACGTCTGAAGCTGGCTGACTGGTTTTAACAGATGGCAATACCTAGATCTGTGTAAACATAATAGACACGGTTTACTATGCCCTGCAGTTAGGCAGTAATGAGTTTATGTCTCCAGTTTAAATGTATTTTACATTCAGTTTGTGCCAAGTGAATGACCAGTGCTTCCCACCCTCTGAATGCCTCAGCACACTGGGAGGTGACAAGTGTGTGGGGCGGCAAGGAACCTTTGCCTACTCGAGTAAACAGAACAGACCGGCCCTAATCCAGAACAAACAGTCCTCAGAGAATACACTAAATGCGCCTGGAAGACGTACCTGGGACACACAAGTTCCGGGCACTGGGGACCTCACCTACCTTGCACGACACCCCAAGGGTACTGGCGAGCTTTGACCATCTTATTTCCGACTTTAACCTCATCCATACTTCCGACCACAGCAAACGGCAAATGTCCCTGAAAAGGAACAGTGACATCAATCACACCTGCTCATACCAATGTGACCAGTGAGAAAAAATTTATGAAAATCACAGAACAAGGATAATGCATTAAATAATGTATCTATTCAAAGCAAGTGGTCTGCTATGCCTCGGATTTCGAAAACTCTGGCAATGAAGATGTGCTAACCGTGCTACAAGTCATTTTGGGCCCTGTAAAGAAAATTATTTACTGAGTCTCCCCCCACAAGCAAGGCACTGTGCGATCAGGAATACAAAAAATAAAAAAAATAAAAAAAGCTTTAGTACAGGTGTCATTTTGCCCTAAGGGACAAATACAATGTTGAAGAAATCACACACACACACACACGCACACACACGCACACACAGCGTGTTTATGATACAATATGTCTCTACTTCGTGTGTAATGCAAATACAATTTGTATAAAGTGATATATAAAGTCCCAAATCACTGTTAGCAGAGGAACTGCTCTAGAAATCAGAGGAGTGCGAGGTCGCTGGGACAGAAAGATACATGCCAAGCTCATCTAGAACAGGATTTAGACGGACCAGGCAGAGCGGGAAGAACCAGCCCAAGGAGGGAGAAGACCCTGAGCAAATTAAGTAGACAGATTCAGAGGGGGCCAACTGGTCTGTCTGAAGCTGAGGACTGACACAGGGAAAACCTAACATAAAACATCTTAAGTGCTAGTTTTTGTAACCAATTTTATTCAGTTTCTTAGTTGTACCTTTCCAAAAAATTATTCTAGGTGAGCACAAGAAATAAGATTAGATGTCAGGACAAGACAATTTAACACAAAGGAATTAAGGTAACTTTATTTAGTTAGATTTTTATATACATTTAGTTTAGATATCTTAATATAAAAGGGATATGAAAAACCAGAAAAGGAAAAAAAAAGTAGTGAAAGGAACAGTTACTGAATATGCTGTTAGGCACATAGCGAAGGTGGCATTATTTAATCCTCAGAGCGATCCTTGAGATACTTATCTACTCTCCTAGGTAAGTGAGCAGTCTGAGACTCCCACACATGCGGTGAGGACTGCCTCCAAAACCCAAGACTCTTCAAAACACAACCAGGTATTTTACAAATGTGTCAGCTTGAAGAAAGTGAAAAAGAGCATTAATCATCTTCAATGATATTAAACTAAAAGTTACACGAATGTTTAATGTGCACGTGTGATGCTGTTTAAACAATGAACATAAATACTGTCTGCTCTAAAAGACCTCCTTAAAGCCTGATTCTAAAGCATTCTATGGGAGACTGTAAAGCCTACACACATTTTTTAAGACAAGACAGAAAGGCATCTTTCTAAATCGATTAAATACAGTTCCACAAGAGGTACATTCCAATCTCACAAGGGTATCACTTAATTTAGCAGACAAGAAAAATACGCTTCACAATATATTCTCTTAAGCTTTTCCCAACTCAAAAAAAAAGTCTCATACTGGGCTTTCTGGACACTCACTCTGGGGTCAGGTGGCACACTGTGGTCAAGGCACTGGACTCCCACATGGCCGACGTTGGGCAGTTAGAGATCCAGACCCAGCAGCTTGCTTTCTCACTCCCAATCCCCATCACCCACCCTTGTCACTTTCTCTGTCTCTCTCTGGTGAGCACATGTGTCCTAAAGCAAAAATTAAAATAATCATCATAATAAATAAAATGAATTAATTCTTAAAAAAGAAGGAAAACTCACTGTCCTTTGGGGTGACACCAGTGAAACTATGAGTGACAACGCCTCTCGTCTCTGAGTCTCACTCTCACACACACAGCACAGTTAGTACCCAGTCTGGGGCTTACGTTCATCGCAGCGTTGACTTTGGCGATGGTGTCATCGTCTGTGGGGAACTGGTATATCTGGACGCCATTGCTGACCAGCTCACTCATAAGCTTGATCTTAAACTTCTGCAATTCCGTTTTAGAAATCGCATCTGCTTTAGCAATCACTGGTATAATGTTCACCTATTTAGAATAAAGAAAAACAGAAGCTGATAATCGAACATCTAATTTTTATTCACACAAAACCATTCTATCTCTGATCATAAATTCCTTCAACTTGGATGGGGCCGTTGGCCAACTACAGTCTCACTGCCTGCTGTCACAAAGAAAGATTCCTCTGAACCATCAAGCCGGTTTGTAGCTACGGCTGCTTTCACACATTGGCGGGGATGAGTACCTGCCATAGACCCTTAGAGCCCACACAGCCCAAGTATTCACTACCTGGTCCTCTGCAGAAAGTGCCCTCTGACCTAGACACTCACTGGCTGTCACTTTCCTAAACGTAGGACAGTGGTGGCCTTACAGAAATTACTTGTAAAAAGCAGAGCTCTTGGGGCCAGCAGGTGGTATGGTGGTTAAGCCGCTGAACTCCCACATGGCCGACCACGGTCCAAGTCTCAGACCTGGTAGCTTGCTTTATCTCCCTGATGAGTGCACATACCCTATAGCAAATTAAAAATAATAATGATGATGAATAAAATTTAATAAATAATTCCCATTTTTAAAAAGGAAGAGCTCTTGGTTAATCTTTCATTTGAATTTAGGTTTCAAAATCTCATTTTCTTCTTTCTCCTTCAAAGCCCCTTAAAATTCCAATGGTGGCAAATGGTGCAGAGGAAATGTGAGCCCCAGGAGGCTCTGCAGGACCAAGCCATGTGGGCACCGGGGGGGAGGCCTGGCTTTAGGTCCCGGGTCACCCGCGCCTGTGACCCTGCTGGCTGGAAAGCTGGGGGGCAGATCATGGTGTGATGAGACAGACCCTGTCAAGGGAACTGGTTCTCTGGGAAAGAAAGGGAGCAAGAGAGGGTGGGAGAGAGGAAGAAAGACAGAAAGAAACTAACTCCAAAAAGTAAACAAAACAAGTAATAAACAGTAAGTTGAAATTCCCTACTAAATTCGCTGACAATTTTTATTTATTTCCTCTGAGAGAGAAGCGTCTCCATGCCACTTTCTGGC